CACACACACACACACACTCACTCTCGCTCTCTCTCTCTCTCACACACACACACACACACTCACTCTCGCTCTCTCTCTCTCTCACACACACACACACACACTCACTCTCGCTCTCTCTCTCTCTCACACACACACACACACACTCACTCTCGCTCTCTCTCTCTCTCACACACACACACACACACTCACTCTCGCTCTCTCTCTCTCTCACACACACACACACACACTCACTCTCGCTCTCTCTCTCTCTCACACACACACACACACACTCACTCTCGCTCTCTCTCTCTCTCACACACACACACACACACTCACTCTCGCTCTCTCTCTCTCTCACACACACACACACACACTCACTCTCGCTCTCTCTCTCTCTCACACACACACACACACACTCACTCTCGCTCTCTCTCTCTCTCACACACACACACACACACTCACTCTCGCTCTCTCTCTCTCTCACACACACACACACACACTCACTCTCGCTCTCTCTCTCTCTCACACACACACACACACACTCACTCTCGCTCTCTCTCTCTCTCACACACACACACACACACTCACTCTCGCTCTCTCTCTCTCTCACACACACACTCTCTCACACACACTCTCACACACACACACACACACACACTCTCACTCTCCCACACTCACACACACACACACGTAAACTGATTCCTGTATTTTTTTTATTCTCAGCTCCAGTCCCAGTGAGCAAGAGAATGTAAGTCCATTTCTAAGCTGTTTTACACAGCAACTTAAATATAGCCAAGTCAAACAGTATAATAACTACAAAATAAACATTAATAAACAATTTCACTTTTTACAAATAACTTTCCGGTACCATGTTATTCATCAAAGAGCACTAACTAGAAATAAAAACGGAGCATGTAAAGGAGAGCGGGGCAAGTTGTCACATTTGTTACTACTGCTGTTAGACTGAATGGCTCAATCTAAGATGATGCACAGCAGTTCAGTTGCCCTCGCCAAAGAATGCAGGATTACGGGAAGAACTGATACGCACAAGAGTTTTCAAAGATTATTGGACAGATACACAGTTCATGCCCTTTTTTTATCATGCATATTAATTTATCATTGAACAGACTTTCAACATTGATAAATGAAGAGATTATATTAAGGCCTTCTACTTCCGTTTACCAAACATGTACACTTCTGATTCACCTTCATCCACCCTAGTCTTCCTCAGAATCCTGCAATAACCTATTAAAAACAATTAAGTCATGCGACTGATAAACAGTTTTATATGACTCCCTTAGACTTGCCAAGGCCTGTTAACCTTGAGAACGGTTACAGAAACATCACACATGGCTGGTACTGTATGAGAGAGATTTCACATCTAGGTCAAAGGGGAAGAGCTGTGAAGAGAACAGAAATCATGCTGAGACAGACGCAAACACCAAAGACTACAACACAAAACAACTGAACATCACAGCAGAGAAACATAGTTAATGTTAAAGCTTGAGCCCTGTAGCGGGGCATGTTGTCACAGTGGAAACCTGCCAGTAAACAGACTATTAAAGGCATTTCAGAGAAGCATTTATGAAATTGCAAATATCTAACCATTATTTTGACCAACAAGTATTGTATTTAAAGAAAGAGATATTCCAAATATAATGAAATTGACAAAAATCACTATTAAAGCATCATGTCTGATGGTTTGTGTATTCAAGAAACCCAAACATAAGTCAGATAATTCATATAAATAATACTCCATTTCACCCTCAGGTTAAAACACCATCATCTGCAAGTAAGTTAAGTTGCCTTTTTAAATATAATCTCATATAATATAAACTGTACTAATTAAATATACCCGTTATGCAGGTCACACGCCTCACAGGTTTTCTCTGGATCTGGACTCTCAGGATTTGGACAGGTACTGACCGCAGTCACACATTCTGTGCATTTTAACATCATTAATTAGTGGAGTGAGGTGTTTAATTGGTGTTTGTTTGCTCCTGCAGCTTCTGTGAGAGCGAGAGGAGCTTGTTCGGTAAGAAGCCACTCACTGAATCACAGCTGAAGCGGCTCAGATTCACGCCTCAAACGCTCTGGATTCGTTACAGATTCACTCGTGAGGAAGCAGCAGCATCACGAATGGCCTCCTGCTAAAGGAGAAACCGACAGCAGCTTCACCAACCACAGCAAACCTGCGCAGGTACAGCAGCAACACGAGTACACAAAAGCAGCAGTGCACCTTTCCTTCAGTATTGTAACAGATTATCGAAAAGTCAGACTTTGTTCTGTCCGCCGGCTCTTGATTGGATGCTGAAATGTGGGCGTGGCACTCAAATATGGAGGCGGGTGTAAATGCAAGCTTGCAGACAAGTGTGGGCGGAGTTTAGGTAGACTAAATGGGCTGCATTTATTTGATCAAAAATACAGTAAAAACAGTGAAATATTATTGCAATTTAAAATAACCGTTTTCTATTTTAATTCACAGTAAAATGCCATTTATTCCTGTGATCAATGCTGAATTTTTGTGAAAACTGTGATGCACTAAAGTTTGGGATAAAAAAAATAAAATAATACTTTTATTCTTCAGGGACGCATTTCAGATTAATCAAAAGTGATGATAAAGACATTTATAATGTTACAAAAGATTTATATTTCTCATAAATGCTGTTCTTCTGAACTTTCTATTCATCTGTGAATCCTGAAAAATAAAATGCATCACGGTTTCCACAAAAATATTAATGTTTTCAACATTGATAATAATCAGAAATGTTTCTCGAGCAGCAGATCAGCATATTATACTGATTTCTGAAGATCATGTGACACTGAAGACTGGAGTAATGATGCTGAAAATACAGCTGCACATCACAGAAATACATTACAGTTTAACAGATATTCACATAGAAAACAGCTGTTTGAAATTACAACAATATTTCATTATTTTTACTGTATTTTTGATCAAATAAATGCAGCCTTTTTGAGCAGAAGTTTTAAAATGTATTTAAAAATCCTATTCCAAACTTAGTGTGTGACTGAACAGATTGTTTACAATAAGCTCAATAACATGCATTTGGAAAATATATAGTGGATTTCCATTTAGTCTGTCCTGCAGGGATTGGCGGATCAGAACTGGTATGTTGGTGCGGTTAGTCGCGTGGACGCTGAACACGCTCTTCACCTGGTCAACCGGGTATAAAACACCTTCCTTTCACTCCAACATCATGACAATTGTTATAGCTCAGAGACACAAGAACTTAGCAGATAATGACAAAATCAGAAAACAAACATATGGATTATGTTTAGATACAGATCTTGATGTTTATATGATACCAGCTGACTTGTGTCCACAGGAAGGAGCCTTTCTAGTGCGCGACTGCTCGAAGAACACTACCTATGAGCCCTGGGTCCTCGCTGTGTTTTACGACAAAAGAGTGTTTAACATTCAGATCCGCTTCAGTGATGAAATCAGCAAATACACTCTGGGAACGGGCCTGAGAACCAATGACGTGAGTCACACGCCCGCAGAACGCAGTGTTTGACGGTACATCAGCATCATCTCTCGTCTCTTTGTCTTTCAGAGGTTTGACTCGGTCACTGACATCATCAAGTTCCACTCCATTTTTCCCATCGTTCTCATCGACGGCCGGAAATCCTCCGCGGCAGCCAATCAGAGGAGGCAGTGTGTGCTGATGTACCCAATCACAGCGCAGGACCTGACCGAGCTGTTGAAATAAGAGCAAATACAAACGACCCACAACATCTACGGGACGTTTAACGGACATTTTAGCTTTATAAGACATTTTTAGTGACGTTAGACTGGTACAGACTCAACAAAAGAGCCAAAGAGCTCATCTGATAGAACGAAGATAAATCAAATGTTTAATAATGTGGATGTGTAGCAATCAAATATCTAAAGGATTCAATATTTTTGGCATTTTAAAACACTCATGTAAAGTGCATGTGAGTGTTTGGCCGAATGCAGACACACAACAACCATTTTTCCAGAAACGTTTAATCCATTTCAGTTTTTATTTAATCACACTTATTTTTTTGGCCTTATGTATAATTTAAAAATAAATATTATGCTCCAGAAGCCTCGGAACGATGTACAGATTATAGTTTGAGTTAAACTCATGACACACGTTTAGTTTCTTGTTGAACAGTTTTAGATTTAAAAACGAGCAGATGCCTTACAGTTCAGCTGTAACTTTACATAACGGTAAGAGTAATAAAAGAAGTCAGTTTACTGGTTTGATCATTTGAGGTAGATTTACAAAGATTAACACATCAAACTGTCTCGACTGTTTACGGGACATTTTACAAAAGGAACATTATGTTGGATGTACACACTTGGACAGCGAGTGTGTGTGAATGTGTGCTGTAAAATACTGAGTCCATATACGCAAACTTTTTTTTGTTTGTTTGTTTGCAAAAACACTTTTACTGTACGTCATATGTTTGAATTTCACAAATGACAAAGCCTCACCCAACAAAGACCATGTGTGCAATTGTGGATTCAAACCAAACCCAAACACCACCCATGAATCACTGCACACCAATCAGAAAAGATTCACTTCAATACTGAGGCTTGTGTACTCATAAAGATTAAAAATGACAGTGATTTCAGTGAATGTGCCACACATTTGAGAGTCCAAACGTAAGACGTATACGGATGTGACGTGTTTGAAATGATCCTGTACAGTCATGACAAATAACACACAACATCCTAAAACAGACATTGGTCTCAAGAATAACTTCTCTATATTGGCAGTTCAGTTTTACATTTTTTTTTTTTAAAGAAGTCTCTATATATACATATAGATGAGCATGTTTGTCATTGCTGCTGTCAAGTGGGAAGTAATGTTTGTAAGTAATGTTAAAAAAGTTCATGTTGAAAAAAGTTGTTTATTCCCATGTACATATGACCAGAGTAGCTAATACTTGGTCAGTCTAATAGCAAAGTAATGTTTATTGGCATTGAACTATTATCGTCACCAACCAGCTTTATTATCGTTAAACTTTTAAATAATCCTGCATTGGTTTTCCTAAATGGCACAATCATAAAAAAATCAATAGAAGCATGAAGTATCTACAAGGGAATGTATCTGGTTTTTACGAGAGCTGTTTCTCCGAGACTCCCTTTAGAACGAACTCGATTACCTGATACTTCTGTCCATGGATTTTCTTGAGTTTCATCTTGAATGAAGGCCGTTTCCTCGCAGGTTGTTCTCTCTGTTCCTGTTCGTGAGCCACTGAGTGAACCCACTTATAGTTCTTGAGGGTTTGGACGCCAGCACTGATGCTCTGAACTGAAGGATTGGGGTGGTTCAGAACCACAACCGGCTGGTTCAGACCGGGCAGCTTGATGCGCTGATCCGCTTTCAGAGGAGTTAATCTCAGTTCTTGATCTTCGGTTGAGAATCGAGGGAGGCCCATTCCAACCGATGATGACCTGCGTTTCTTGGCTTTTCTCTTTTCTTTCTTGTGTTTTTTACGTGGTGGAGAGTCTTGGTGCTTCTCTTCTCTTTCACAAAGGTTTCTCTTTAGTATCAGCTTGATGGCCACTTCAGGACTTCCGGACACGTTCTGCTCGCTTAGCGTGCAGCAGAGAACCGGTCGCGCCGTCAAACTCTCCTCTCGAGTTGGCGCTTCCGGAAGCTTCTTGGTGGGTTCCAACAAAGAACTGGGAATCCTGAACAAAGCTACTTTTGGATACATTTTGGAAACACAGGAATGGTGTTGTTGGCCATCCAAGCTCCTTCCAGACTCCCATTCAGAATTTCCCTTGTCTTGATGTGAAATGTCATCCTTGTTTGATGGAACGATGTTCTGGTTTGGCACAACCAATGGATGAGCCACTGTAAAACGTGGATCTTGTTTTGAATGACTGATGACCTGCGTTTCTTGGCTTTTCTCTTTTCTTTCTTGTGTTTTTTACGTGGTGGAGAGTCTTGGTGCATCTCTTCTCTTTCACAAAGGTTTCTCTTTAGTATCAGCTTGATGGCCACTTCAGGACTTCCAGAGATGTTCTGCTCGCTTAGCGTGCAGCAGAGAACCGGTCGTGCCGTCAAACTCTCCTCTCGAGTTGGCGCTTCCGGAAGCTTCTTGGTGGGTTCCAATAAAGAACTGGGAATCCTGAACAAAGCTACTTTTGGATACATGTTGGAAACACAGGAATGGTGTTGTTGGCCATCCAAGCTCCTTCCAGACTCACATTCAGAATTTCCCTTGTCTTGATGTGAAATGTCATCCTTGTTTGATGGAACGATGTTCTGGTTTGGCACAACCAATGGATGAGCCACTGTAAAACGTGGATCTTGTTTTGAATGACATTTGTTTAGGGTTTTTCCTGATGTTTTCACTTGAACACGAGTCTTAGATATTGCAGAGCCTTCACTAGTCTCATCCTCTGTCTTTGTTTCTTTGAGACCCAAAGAAGTACCTTTGGGTTTGTCCTCAGTTTCCTCCTTTTTAATCAGAATACTACAGACCAGCGATTGCTCTGCATTCTTCACCTCGTCCTTCGGCTCTTTCGTTGCCACCTTCCAGCGTTGCATTTCTGGCGAGGACTTTGAGATGCTTTGAGTTGACTTAGGTGTGGGACAAAGAGAGAAAACTGATGAGATCACAGGAAGGCTTTCAGAACTCAAGTCTGGACCCTCGAGCCTGATGATCTCTGGATCCTTGGTCTTCAGGTTGCGCTTGCTCTTGGCTGGCGTCTCTGAAGAACATTGTGGTTTGTGTGCTGATTGAACAGTTTTTGTGATAGTCTGAACATCGGTGCACATTGAAGGCCGCTGCTGTTTGACTTTGTGAGATGTTGCAGACGTGGACGGGCTGACTGGACACCCTTTGGCAACTTGGCATTTGAAGGACAGTTTGCCTCCAGTTGCGGCTGATGAAGGTTCATCCATGTTGCTCTTCTTGTCTTGCGGGATTCCATTAGGTGGGATCAACCGTAGCTCCAACTCCCGAGTCCCGTTGACGTTTTTCACCTCGACCAGTTCCACCAAACACCCGGCAGGAATATTGATCTCCTCTGGACAGGACACGGTCAAAGGCTTGTTGTGTTGAATTGGCTGGTTCAAAGGTGCCAACAGTTCCACTTGGACACTGGATAACGGGCTCGATGTTTCTGCTGATGATCCTACAGGTACTCTGGAGTTTGTTCTTGACTGGTTGCTCTTTTCTGCACTGGAGTTCAGTGGACTTTTGACTGGACTGCTGAGAAGTACTACTGGTTTCTGTGTCCCAACCTTAGTCCCTGTTTTGGACTGGCCAGCCCTCTGATCCATCTGGATATTCCTCTTGGATAATGGCGCTTTAAGCAGTGGTCTAAGCGCGGTGTTCAATTCAACAGGCGCTCGGACCTGGACTCTGGGAATGGTGTTTGAAGCCATTGCCTTTTCAGGAACACCAACTCTTGGGCTTTGCTGTAGTAGTTCTGTAGAGCTAACATGGACTCTTGGGAACATAGCTTTCGGAATAAGCTTTTCCGAAACGGTTCTGCTACTAACCACCTTGTTTCTCCCATCGGCACGGAATTGCGCATTCGATAGGTTGCTGTTTGCCTCCCGTGATCTTAGAACCACTTGCGGTTTTCTGTGTCCCAACCTTAGTCCCTGTTTTGGACTGGCCAGCCCTCTGATCCATCTGGATATTCCTCTTGGATAATGGCGCTTTAAGCAGTGGTCTAAGCGCGGTGTTCAATTCAACAGGCGCTCGGACCTGGACTCTGGGAATGGTGTTTGAAGCCATTGCCTTTTCAGGAACACCAACTCTTAGGCTTTGCTGTAGTGGTTCTGTAGAGCTAACATGGACTCTTGGGAACATAGCTTTCGGAATAAGCTTTTCCGAAACGGTTCTGCTACTAACCACCTTGTTTCTCCCATCGGCACGGAATTGCGCATTCGATAGGTTGCTGTTTGCCTCCCGTGATCTTAGAACCACTTGCGGCGTGTTGCCTAACGAGTGACTCGCGCTTGGAGCGCAGCTAGGAATGGCACCATTGAACTGAGTCTTAGAAACCGGAATGACGGTTGTTGTATTGGTCATAGACGGCATTGTGAAACTGTAGGTCATACGAGCACGATTACCCCTGGTTTGGCTCACTGTTTTACTAATAACAGATGATTGGTCGGGTTGACTTCCACTGGGGTGTTCATCATGGGAATTGGGAATTGCACACTGGTCGTTCCTTTCAGGCCAATCTGAAATCCCGAGGGCATCAGGAACAGATGGGCCTGCTGTATCTAGGGTGGATACAGCGAAGTCAGTTATGAAGCCTTCTTCCGCATTTCTCTTGTGAATACGAAGAATATGCTTCACCATGTAATCTCTCCGCACGGCTCCGTACGAGCAGAAGCTACACCTGTACGGGTACGAGCCAGTATGCAAAACGACGTGTTTCTGAGACTCCGTTTTTGAATAGGAAACATAGCTGCAGAGCGCGCAGGAGAAAGTTACCTCTTCATGATGGGACACGTGCCTCTCGAACAGGTCAGTGTCCTTGGTTGAAAAGCGACATTTTGCACAGCACAGGCGATCAATGTCTTTTCTAGGTATAGCACTGTCCTTGCTGTTCATAAATGACATGAAACTTTGTTGTGAACGCATGGTCAGGACATTAAGTTAACAATCCTACGGTCCAAAAAACAAAGAATAAGTGATCCACATTGGCTGTTTCTTGACAAGTAAGGATCCCTTCCTTTGGGCTCAGTACGCCGTTAGTTTGTACCTGCATAATGGGTGAGAAAAAAAGTGTTTTGGGGAAATTAGAAAGGAATACAATTCAAAAAGTAGCAGTAAACAACAACTGATTAACATAAAACTCTCTTCATTGGTTATGTTGTACAGCAACTCTAATTTATGACCCTTGCATCTATAAATTCTCTGTAACGCAACCAACAACAACACTGTTAAAGACTCCAAGTAATTCATGATGTTCAAATCACTAGTGCATCTTGAAAGTGAATTTTAATGGAGTATTAAAACAGACACACACTTTAGGAATACGCAGGTTATGGAAAAAGACTTTGTAAATAAGTTTATTATAACCATTGTTGTGAGAACAAGCTTTTCTCAATGAACCACATATAGAGACCAGAATATCACAGAGATTTGGAAGTGCAACCACTAGCAACCCCTTAACAACCAAACTGCAATGGATTGATAACCATCCAGGACAGTCGGGACCAGGTTTTGAATAGGTTATCAATAGGGCTGCACGATAAATCGAAAATAACCCGCACACGATTTGGCGGTTAGCTGCGATTTTTTTTATTTTTTATGCGCAGCTTGTCAGTGAAGTATGGTTGAATGCTGCTTCATATAAAAGCCAGAGGGCGTAAAGACTCCAAGTAATTCATGATGTTCAAATCACTAGTGCATCTTGAAAGTGAATTTTAATGGAGTATTAAAACAGACACACACTTTAGGAATACGCAGGTTATGGAAAAAGACTTTGTAAATAAGTTTATTATAACCATTGTTGTGAGAACAAGCTTTTCTCAATGAACCACATAGAGACCAGAATATCACAGAGATTTGGAAGTGCAACCACTAGCAACCCCTTAACAACCAAACTGCAATGGATTGATAACCATCCAGGACAGTCGGGACCAGGTTTTGAATAGGTTATCAATAGGGCTGCACGATAAATCGAAAATAACCCGCACACGATTTGGCGGTTAGCTGCGATGTTTTTTTTTTTTAATGCGCAGCTTGTCAGTGAAGTATGGTTGAATGCTGCTTCATATAAAAGCCAGAGGGCACTCTCGCGCAGAAGCTCCAAATATGCCCCGCAGAAGAAGTACCATAACACGCGTAGTTCCAGGATATGCCTATGTGCATCTTTCCATCACTGTTCTTCAAGCCTTCTCAAGTATTTTCATGATTTGACGAGTGTTGCTTTTACAAATGCACATAGTAAGCGACTCAAGCTCGTGGTGACTTCAGACGGAGCAGCACTTCCCACCGATCAAAGAGCCGAGCTTGCATAAAAACATAATCGCAGCCTTTGCGATATTATAATCGCAGTAGACAGGTCGATTTACACGAGGTTTAGTATTAATCGCGAATTATCGTGCAGCCCTAGTTATCAATATAGACCAATAGAACATGGTCTAAAATGACCAGTGGCCAGTTCTGGGGTCTACATGTTAAACTCTCTAGCGCCCCCATCAGCTTGAAGCTTCACTTTTTTAAAACCAGATTTTCTGTAGACTCGTCGTCCTCCAATTTTGTGAAAGTTTAATTTTCAAGTTAATTGTTTGGCGTACAAATTTTACGTGATCTTCACTAAATTTGCGTCAAACAGCCGTAAGACCACGCTGAACAATACCGATCAAATTAATCTGTGATGTTCACCAATGACTAGTGCTTAACCACAATTACGTGAGGCACAGACACACAAATCCAGTGGGAAACCAACATTTGGTTAAAACGTTTGACTATAAATTGAAATGCAAGTACAATACGACATGTTTCTGTAGTAGCAATCAATGCAAGAATATAGTCTCGAGTCGACAAACATTTAACACCAATGCTTTCTGTAGTTTTATCATATTTATTAGTAAAGTTGTTGGTATTAAAACTGAAAGCTACTTGTACTGCAACTTACAAACAACAAATCACTTTATATTAGTACAGTAAATGCAATAAAACCGTTTTTTTATATTCATTTTCTCAACACTGCAAACCCCACACAAATTTGATGAATGCATGCAATACAGTATTTAAATAGATGCACTTTTTTAAAATAGCAGTACAGTGTATCAGGTCTTAATTGCACTGTGCATTTAAATCGCACATGCACGAATGGTTTTCAGTGGTGTGCAGATCTGCTGCTCTCGGGAGATTAAACAGCGCACAGTAATTGCTCATTCCCCAAGGCCATGTAAAGAAGACGTGCATTAGGCGTGTCTGAGTTATATTAGTACAGTAAATGCAATAAAACCGTTTTTTTATATTCATTTTCTCAACACTGCAAACCCCACACAAATTTGATGAATGCATGCAATACAGTATTTAAATAGATGCACTTTTTTAAATAGCAGTACAGTGTATCAGGTCTTAATTGCACTGTGCATTTAAATCGCACATGCACGAATGGTTTTCAGTGGTGTGCAGATCTTCTGCTCTCGGGAGATTAAACAGCGCACAGTAATTGCTCATTCCCCAAGGCCATGTAAAGAAGACGTGCATTAGGCGTGTCTGAGTGTTGCGTGCGCCCGTCACGCGCGTCGCAGGCGAAAACAGCACGCGTTAAAACACTCACCTTGCGTTAAAAGCGTCCTCCTCGCTAAAGATGCGTTTAATTCGTCCGTTGCTCCATATTTTGTCTCCAGGGTGGCGTGCATTGTTTCCTTCCCGCTGCCGTGACCGCGCAGAGGGCGGGTGCGCGTGCACGCTGCGCGCCTCTGATTGGCTGCTGGCTGCAGTAGAGCTCTACAGCTCGCGGGCACCCGCATCTCTCAGCATGCGCATGCGCATTGCGCAGCAGGGCTCCGACACAAACACGCTTCTGCTCGCGCTGCGGGTCTCAGAGCTCGTGCTGCAGCGATACACCGCTGGTTTGGTCGGTATAGACTCCTCTAACGCCGCAGACGCGACAGCACTGTGCTGCCTTCCCCTTGCAGATCATGAGCCAAGATGGCGCCCGTGAAAAACTAGCGCGTTCCAGTTCACTGAACATGACGCATGTTATACAGCGGCTCTTAGTAATAAATGTGCACATATTTATTTGGTTATATTGGCCACGCCCATTTGTAAAAAATATTGTTCTATAATCATCAGTAGTTGATTACGGACACGACTCTAAAAGATAAACAATCCCAGATTTAAACCCAAATTGGTCGGTATAGACTCCTCTAACGCCGCAGACGCGACAGCACTGTGCTGCCTTCCCCTTGCAGATCATGAGCCAAGATGGCGCCCGTGAAAAACTGGCGCGTTCCAGTTCACTGAACATGACGCATGTTATACAGCGGCTCTTAGTAATAAATGTGCACATATTTATTTGGTTATATTGGCCACGCCCATTTGTAAAAAATATTGTTCTATAATCAACTATGATTACGGACACGACTCTAAAAGATAAACAATCCCAGATTTAAACCCAAATTGGATTATTTTGTTTTAAACAAAGTCGATTGGGAGTTTAACTGCAAGAAATGTGTTTTGCTTTGTGCAATATATATATGAGCAATATCACTGGAGTACTCGAGCGATGCCGGCTCTATATCAGCGGCTGTGGTTAGGCCGCAGGCAGGAGGCCACTGATATAGAGCCGGTATCGCTCGAGTACTCGTGTGATATTGCGTTATACAACAGCTCGACGGAACATGAGACAAGAAACAACGGAGTGCCTAATAAAACCCTCTTTTGTGCGGAACTACTTGCTTCCGCCACGGATTCAGAGCTCAAGCTGACAGGTCTTTTTCTCCATCTCTCACTATCAGACCCCTGAAACACACACACACACTCTCACACACACACTCACACACACACACTCTCACACACAC